TGGAAAAATATCTGATTATAAAGACGGGAACAAGTAATTTCCTTATCAAATCGCTTATGTAATTCTCCTCGTCATGGATAATTTTTTTTTTTTCGGTCGGAGTTATAAGAATTAAATTAATAAATGCATTGTTCTCATAAGTTGTAATACCTTCATTGTGAAACAAATAAAAAGAATTAAAATTATTTTAAATAGCTGAAATTTTTTGGAACGGATTACTTTCAATAAATTTTATATTTGAAAAAACTTTATTTCAATTACTACTACAACTTTTTCAACGAAATGAAATCATTAAAATTATTAATTGCATTGGCCGTTTTGTTTATACAGGTAGACGGGGATTTTGAATTTCTTTTTATTCAATTCGATCGAATTCATGAATTAATTTAATTTACCTTTTACATACATAGATTACTCCGAATTTAGCGTTTGAATATTTTGGAAGTTTAAGCATTCCATCTGACTTAAGTTGGATTTTGTGTAGTGAAGAACGTACTAACACCATCGGTAACTAAATATAAAAGCTTTTCAAAAAACGAAATTCAAAGAACGCATTTTAACGAATTAATATATATATATGAATAGCATTCAGAATAACGGTGACAGATAATGTTAAAATTAATCCAAATGACACACTAGCAATTGGTACGATGGTTCGAGGAATGATAAACACAACCACGTATTTAAATCAAGAAGGAGGAATTGATGTGCTTGTTTTACGCAAAAGTAAACTAGAGCAATATACCAATAGTGAAGTATTCGAAAAAAATGGGGGAGTTGACAATTATCCCGATTTTTCTTGTTTAAACCAAGTACCTGAATGTAACAGGCATACCGTAAATCGAAAACTACTTCCGGATTATGATTATCAATGTTTAATAGTTGCAAATCCTAATTTTAAACCAGTCACTCTCGCGTATAATATAGGTTTTTTTGAAAATGTTGAAAATGACGCTAATGGATTAAATGGTGAAGTTGTTCAAATATTACAAGTATTACTAATTTTTTTTATCGTGATAATTATGTAGATTTGATGTTAAGTTCATCAATAAAAAAAGGAGATTCGAAATACAATCATTCGATTTATACATAATAAATAAATATGCAAGTAGAAAATCCCGATTAATTAATATTCTTTATTCAATAATTTACAAAGGAAAAAATAATTGTATCGAATGACATTATATTTTAATTTCCCCTTTAAGCTGTTAAAGGAACATCAATCGGACTCTATAATAAAAAAGGTGTTATGTGAAACCACTTGAATTTACTTTTATAATTTTACAAAACATTAAACTAATTAATTTAATTACCTTTCCGTTTCGGATTTCAGTAGCCGTTGGAAATTTTCCAAGTCTTAACTATAAATGGATTGAAAAGAAAAATCAAATTATAATACACGTGATCCTCCATTAGTATTAGACAATATAAATATATTTATTACGAACCAATTCAGAGCTATGAGATGCAATAGGATCGCTAGACATTGTGGCAACTGCTAAAATTTTATCACCACCTATTGAACAAACAAATTAATTTAGTAAAAATATATATTATTTAATGATATGAATCAAACGTACGTGCGTAAAAAGCCGCAAACTTCATTTCTTCTAAACTTCCTTGTACAATGACATCATCAAAGCTACTGGCGTATCCACAATAACGTAATCCTTTAGAAAGCTGATTACTCCAGAAGTAAGGAATCTTTTTGAACGGAATTACTTTTTTTGATACTATGGCTTCAGCAACTGCTCTTCCCGTATTCTCCGCAAATGACTAAATATAAAATTTGTTAAGTTGTAAAGCTGCAGTAATATAATGAACGTAAAGGTTATTTACCCAATGCTCGATTCTAAGAGGTTCACCGGTTATAGAGTAATTAAATTTAGCAATATCCCCAATTGCGTAAACATCTTCGAGTCCCTCAACTTGGAAACTATCTGTAACCTTTATGCCGCCATCTTTCTCTAGTTTAAATTCGGGCGTTCCTTTCAAAAATCCCTAATTGTAATTATGTAATGTTAAAATAATACGTTCAACCGAATAATAAATTTTTATGTTTTTAAAAAAAAATCTCACTGTTGACGGTACGACTCCAGCACCAACTATTACTATATCGGCTTTGATTTTAGTTCCGTCCCTTAAAACCACTGCACCGCATACGCTGGGATCGGTTTCTAATAACATCATAATAAAAGGTTATTAAAAGATTGAATTCAAATATATTCCTCGACATTGACTTACCAGATGGTTCAATAGCTGTAACCCCAGCTTCAAGATAAAATTTGATTCCGTGAGATTCATGTAGTGTTTGGAACACCTTTCCAACTTTTTCTCCAAGTACTCTTTCAAATGGTACCTAATTAATTGAAACTAAGGTTATCTATGAACTAAATTAAAATCTAAATTTAGTAATAAAAATTTAAATACCTTCTCCATGCCAATTACAGAAACATTAGCCTTTTTAGCCGACATTGCCGCAACTTCCATTCCGATAAAAGAAGATCCAATTATTACCAGATTCTTCTTTTCATCATTTTCATTAACGATACCTATTTAATAAACAATACATGATTAGTTAACAATAATAAAATAATAATTTATATTCATTAATTATTTGAACTTGGATTTACCTTCAATTTTTTTATAATCATTAAAGGTACGAAGATATAAAACATTTTTGAAATCAATTCCCGGAATCGGAATTGACCTCGGCTATTTTTTTAAAAAATTTTTTTTTTTCAAGGATTCAATATTACAAAAATAAAAATAATTCTTAATATAATTTAACTTACGTCGGCACCGGTAGCGATAATCAAACTATTATATTTCAACTCTTCTCCATTATCAAGAGCAACAGATTTTGATGTTGGATCTACCTTCGTTGCAGTCTATAAAAAGCAAATAAATTCTGAAGGTTTCTAAATAATTAAATATGGATCAGCATCTTATTAAAAAAAAAATACGTACGGTTCCCAATTTAAGTGTGATAGACAACTGATCATAAAATGCCTGATTTCTGAGAAATAATTTTTCAATTCCAAAACCAAAATTTTTAGAAAGCTTTGGCCTATAAATAAATATAATTAGAAAAATTAAAACCGTCCAGCAATCAATTTGTAAAGAATATTTCGTTTGCTAACCTATCGATAGGTAGGTACGGTTCTCGACTCACGAGGAAGATTCTTCCGTAATATCCACTCTAAATACGTTTCATTAATTAATAAGTTAGCAAACGATAATGCTAGAATAATTCATTCTTGTATATACCTCACGAAGTTTTTCTGCAGCTGCATTACCACTAGCACCACCGCCAAGAATTACTATGGTATCCTTTTCCGTAATTGCATTACCACCACCAAGAGTATCTTCGCTAATCGTAGGCGTAACGATACATTTAGGAGGACGTCTTCCCGCTTTCAAGGCTGGAAAAGAAAAAAAATTGTTAAAAGTAAGAAACGAAATAATATATAAATGTTATCTTATAACGTTGAAATTCCTTGCCTGCTTCATCAACTTCCACGTAGACGTTATCATCATCTTTGATAGTAACCTAATTGTAATAATATAAAGTAAATATTAATACAAAGTTAAAATTCGGACTAACTTTTTATAATAATTTTACCTTAAATGATTGAAGGTTATCCATTCCGGGAGAATCCTCTAATGATGATCGTCACATTTAAGACGATTAAGCCAATTAACGTTAAAAAAATTTTTATTTTTATGTAGCAATCAATGACAAAAAAGTATTCATACCGATATCTCCAGTTTTGACATTAAAACATGCACCGTGCCAAGGACTAAAATTACGGAATCGTATTACAAATCTTAAATGTCATCAATATAAAGATAAAATAAATTTACCAAGTAATACGTCCATCATACGATAGGACGCCTTTGGCAAGGGGTGCCTATGAAAAAAAAAATCACTATTAATTTGAAAATAAAGATGATCATAGGAATTTATTTTAAAATATTAAAGCATACTCCATAATGAGTACATTTGCTAGAAGTGGCATAAATTTGTCCATCAATTTTCGAAACGAGCACTTTAGAGTTACCAACAGCTACTTCTTGCCTAAAAAAAAAAAATTAGCCATGACGAGGAGAATTACATAAGCGATTTGATAAGGAAATTACTTGTTCCCGTCTTTATAATCAGATATTTTTCCA